ATATATATATATATAAAATTCTATAAAATTTCAGTACGATAAATATCTACAAACAATTTTTCCGAAAGAAATTTGATCTGCTTATAATTATTATGAGTTTGAGTGACATATTTTGCATGCAACATGTTATCTCGGATATAATATCGTTTATTATTTACTCTAATTTCAAAACACTTTTTATATTTTCTACTTCACCATTTTGTAAGTAGAATTCACAATCCCGATAAAAAAAGGGATAAAATCTCTTTCTTAAATTAACAGATTTGAAAAATCAATATTTTTACGTTCTATTATTAACAACCATTAAGCTGTCATAATTGATTTTGCGTTTACACAATTAGCTTTCCGCAAATTTCCCGTTGGCCTAATCTCAGCAAAGTTTCCTCCCGGTATTAATTAGCGCAAGGAATGTCCTTTGAGTGACGTAAAACGAAGTCACACCCTTTGGCAAGGCACGACAAGGCGCGATCCCTTTAGCACGTGCATAATATGACGCAAAACTGAATTTCGAGTTGTTATCGAGTAGCCTCTCTGTGCACACAGGCGAATGGATAATCCCTACATATAAGTTCAATAGAGGTTTGAACCAAAGAAGTCTTATCTCCGTGAATGAGCTCGAGTGCAGTTTCCGAATATCCGAAATTACAAATGACTTTTGAAATGTCCGACGCCGCGGGGAATAGAATCATCTCAATTGATTCTCACGCTAAAGCGGCCTACATGTGAATTTTCCGATTATAGTGCGCCAGGGCAGCATACACGCCGATGTTGAGCAAGATTGAACAATTATTGAACTTTCAGCTCGAATAAGTTTCATGCCACCAACCCTACATGCCGTCTCGGAATCGATAATTCGATAGAGGTTCGTGTGGTTCGTTGAACGGAACCACCACTCTTATTGTTGTAGGAGGCACTTCGATTTAGTCAGACACACATACGCTTGCGCATATATATGTCATAATCAGTAAAATTGCTTTATTTCACATTCGACGAAGTCGCACAAAGGGATTCCCGGTGGTGCCATTCATAACGAGATGATTGCTATTCGCTCACGATTATTTTTAGTCCTTTTCAAAATTTCTATTTTTGTATATATAGATGTTAAAAAATAATGTACAGTACATAGCATTATCAAATTTGCTTTTATTAAGAAAATAAATTATGTTATTCTTTCTATATATAGAGAGAGAAAATGATATCATTTGTAAAGTAATATAACTCGAAATATCACCAACAGTTTATATTTTTCTTGACTAACTAAAATAATTAAATTCGAAATAGACAATTTTTTTCTTCAAACTTTAATTACCAAAATTTCTTAATTCTACAAATTGAGAATTCATTCATAAGGGTTTAAGTAAATATAATTCAACTTGAAAGATTGGGACTAGCAAAATCTATTATTAATATTATACAATACTATTAATTAAATTAAAAATATCAAACAGTATGTGCAAGGATTTCTAATGAGGATGGCCATAAACAAATTGATAATGTAATAAGCTAAAGAAAATTGCAACTGTTTATGATGCATTGTAATTTTTATGTAAACCATTGAAGATGATCATATTAAAATGATCGAAACGTTTAGAAATTAATTATTTTGATTAATAGTATTATATATTAGCATAGTAGAGATTCTTAATTCTAAATATTCTTTGTAGAAAACTCTCCTTTTAATTTACAAAAACGACACAATTCAAAAATGTGCCGCTCTTGTAAAAGTATTGCATTGTAGTTTCTTTAAAAACCTTAAGAGAACGACACAAATGTTATTTACAGATTATGAAATAAAGTTAGTTTACTTTTGATGATTGGTAGAGTAATTATTATCTAACTCATTCATGATAATTCCAACATCACTTTCGAGTTGTGTCACTTTTGAAGTAAGGAAGCGGTATAATTTTATATAGACATTTAAACTTAAATGGCTGAATAATTAAAGAACAATATAATTAAGCGCAAGTGTACTAAATACTCACCAAATATTGGTTGGTCAGATTAGAATCGCTACAAGGATACGGCGTATAAACAGCCAACGCGACGCAGTTTGCAAATATCGTCATAAGGATGAGATATTCAAAGGCTCTGCAGAATGATATTGATAAAACCAAGTTAATTAAGGAAACTAATAAAGGTTGGTCATTCGTGCATTAACCCTTTTGTTGCAGATTGTGTCGCCAATATTGACTTTAATATCAACATCATACTGAATATGAAATTAGGGTCAATCTGAAGAAGAGCAGTTTAATATCAACCGCATTATTAATGTCGAGTTCGCAAATATCGTTGATATCGGTTCGGACGTAATTTCTGAACTTTGATATTAATTCTCCGTCATCGGGAGTCATCCGGTAACTATCTTGTTAATTGCTAAAGAAGTATACGAGAGCAAAAGGATACTTCCACTCGACGACCTTGATGCACAGCTTCCTAACAGGGTTCGTAAGGGCCAGACAGAAGAGCGCCCGAACGGGTCTATCAGGTGGCGGTTTGGCCCCCCGTCTGACGGGCTTCTTCTGGGCCGATTTAGAGACAGCGCCAGCGGCCCCGGGGCCCATCTGCGATGGCGGCGGCTGCATGTTCGCCAACTGCGTCGCATCCATCGCACCACCGACGTTAGGTTGCTGGCCGGCGTTGGGGGGGATCGCGATGTAGGGGGTCGCGGAAATCGGCTGGGCCCCCGGCAGCCGAGCAGGTGGGCCCAAGACCGAGCCCCCATCCCCCCCCGCGCTCATCGGTCGCTGGTGTCGAGCTCCGTGCTTCCTGTGCTACGACGATGATCACACGTTCTTCTTTTTCTCCTACGACGCTCCAGGGATTGGTGCCTAGCCACGCAGATGGCGGCGATCGACGCCGATCGACGCGGTGTCTCAGAGACGCACCACCACGCGCTGCAGCTCGCCGGCATGCTACGGCACTGGGCTGCTATGAAGCTCCTTCCGTGACCTGCAACAAAAGGTCGGGGTTCATGAGAGGGTATGATACAGAGGAAAAAGAGAGAAAGAGAGAGAGAGAGAGAGAGAGAGACTCTTTCGATTGTAACGGTCGATCGCGAGTACATCGCGATGAGTATTCTATAAATTGTAATTATTCATAAGCTAATGCCGCGATACATTCACAAGCACGAGTTAATGTGCACTCCAACGAAAACATTCTCGAAACGCACGCATAAATACCAATACTCTCGAAGATGTAATATTTAATTTTGAGTTCATATTACAATGAAAATAATTTTAGCGTTTGCATGTAAGTGGAGGAGGATGAATTGCGCGAGCCACTTTATTGTATTACTTTACAAATCAGTTGATAATTATTTATTATACAATTATCTTTTGTGCATTGTGCCTTTATAAATACAATTACATTATATCTTTTTAAATACACGTTACAAATACAAATTGCATCACAAATAATAAATTAAATCGACGCCTTTATTCAACTTTCGCTTTAGAAAAAAGATTTAGAAAATAGATAAAGATTTCGCTTTATATTAAATATATAATATAAAATAGAATTTTGGATGAAACGTAATGCAATACAAAAAAAAAATAGATTAGATATTATATAGAAAAGGGAGAGAAAATCAGCAGACTCAGCAGATACGGAAAGTAGATGTTTCAATGCGTTCTACCGGGGAAAAAAACAGGATATTCCAAGTAATTCGAGAATCCATCAGTCTCAAACGACGCAATTATACCTTTGACGTTACAAATCCGCCAACAGAGGCAACGTGTACAATGCATTGAGGGTCGTGCAGCTTTCTCCTCCGATCCAGGAAGGATAATATATAGTGGCGCGGGCTTTCGATTGCGCCATGGATGCAATAAAAAGATAACGGTGCTACCGAATGAAAAGAACTCGATTATTTCGGGTGCAGCCTTCCTACCGATCTTGGCGCTACCTATCAGTAGCGCGGTATTCTCTGCAGAAAATGGTCATTTATTTCTTTCATTGGCGAGCAACGTTGAGCCGAAAATTTGTTACGTTAATGGAATAATAAGATTAATTCACCTGAGAAATTCACGCGATTATATCTTCGGTTTTCATATTTTCCCAAACAATAGAAAGATTATTTCATTCCGCGCTCTTATTCATTAATTAAAGATATTTTATATCTCAGCAACAAATTGATCATAAATCCTTTTTGGATCACAATTAAATCCTGAACTATTCTTAACTCTCACGGTCCTCATATTATTGATTGTACAACGAAGATGCAACGGGAGATAAGTCATTCACATGAGACAAACACGATTACGGTGAAAAATTGCGGGACACATTATCTAAAGGCACATTTATTTCACCCTTTTCAAGTTTCTCTACCGGAATCGGTAAATCCTCACATAAATTGGACGCAGATCGTGGTAACACGACAATTATTCGCGATGGAAATCAATAGATAACACTATAATAGTATCGTTCGCGTTACGGTACGGACGGTCGATGCTTTCCTGACCTTCCGTAATCCCCGCTATCGTGGGGAACAATAAATGGTTCGTCGATGGGAACCACTATTACGGTGGACAATTCTTCGCGATTTAACAAACGCATTGGCTTTTCGAACAATTTTCTTGCCGCGGAACGCAAAAGCTGCATTTGAAAATCATCTTGATCGATTCGACTAATTCGTTCTGTAAATCCGTGGCTCTCCATCGATTGTAACGCTAATCCGTGCCGCGCGAAAAACACAATGGCCCTTTGAAACCAAGTCTCTGATAGGATAATTCTGGAATAGATGGCCACCTCTTTCGGTATCGATGTGGCCACGTTAAAATATTTGCTTAAAATCCTTGTAAACGATCAATTCTCAAAGCAAGATGCTTTTGCTGGATAAACGCAGAAATCGAAAATAATGACGTATAATTAAAAGAAGTTTACAAGTATTTATACAAGTAAAAATATATAAATACATAAATACATTTTATTTACGTATATGAAAATATGCCTACATTAATTTTAATTTCTTCTATTAAAATATTTTATTAAAGTAGTCTATATTTGTGTTATTTATAAATTAATATATTCTCATTTGAGTCACTCGTTATATACTCCTATTTATTTTATCAGCGTTTATTTTATTAAAACAATATTTTTTCGCTATTTTATATTGATGGATAAATATATCCAAAGAAGTCAGTTCAATATGATATACTAATAATAATTATATGATATAACAATATGATATACTAATAATATATGTATAATAATATGGTATACTAATAATAATTAGTATACCATATTAAACTGACTTCTTATTTTTGCATTGACTCTCCTGATATGATGAATCATTAAAAGTACGTATCGCAAAGGTATTTAAAGGATCCTCTAGACCAATCAATCAACCAATCACAATCAAATATAAGGAGAATACTCAATTAGAATTTATCAGTTTCCTATGACTTAAGACTCCATGACCTTCTACGACTTCTAAGTAGAGGATTCTTAATGCTTTACGTCTCGTACATCCATCGTTGCAGCGGATGTCCAAAACCATCTTCGTCGCGTTCATCCAAAGGAAACGTCGCAACGGCTGTGAGAGAGACCCGGCCTGGGATTTATAGCCGAGTCCATGCTATATTTAGTATGTCTAAATACTAGAAAGCTTTACCTACGGACGAGTTTCTCGCCTCGTGTCGCGACACATCGTGAACTTGTCTGTGATCTAATCGTCTCTCTCTCTCTCTCTCTCTCTCTCTCCCTCCCTCTCTCCCCCCTTCTCTCCCTCTCTCTCTCTCTCTATCGCCTCTACTTTGAGCCACAATACGATTCTGCTCGGAATTCCTTGGTAACAAATTGTATTACATCGTGCACGAAATATTTCGCGGCGTATCTCGTTACGGTGTTTTGTTCAAGCCACTTTGTCCTCAAGGCATTGTTTCTGAGAGCAAACAGCGCATCTCACGACATAATTCCACTCAACTTCATGAAAGGGAAAGGGAAACGCACGTATCATATATATATTATACAAATTATTATTTAAACCATAGAAATAGAGGAGCTTATCTATTAATTATTCGCGATGTAATGATTCTTGAAATTCGCGATTCGCATTAAAAGGACCCTCGTGTGATTCAGAATGACGAAATAGAATGCAATAGGTATGCCTTTGCGTAGATTTATAGATAGCAATGAGTGAGGCACGTAACTAGAGATGAGTCATACAGTTTCTAGCATTTGGCGTAATTCTACAAAGTTCACGATGTGTGTCGCTGATTGTTTAGATTGAAAGTCGTTTGCTTATTACATAGGAGAAAAAGACAGGGAGAGAGAAATTAATTCAATTCTTATTGTTAATATATTGTATAATTTGTGTCCAGTTTCAATTTAATAATACCAAATTTAATATTTTATTTAATATTAAGCAGGTCAGATATATCCAAACGTAAATATGTAAATTAAGCGCGTGAAAGCGCGTAATTAAATCAGCATTAAATTAATCTCGAGGTCAATTTAATTTTTTACTGTATTTAAAAAACAAAAATTACTTTGTGGCAAACGAATAATGAGGCGTACATTTCCTTGTTATCCACTTCGTCACGCAATTACTTACTGAATTGAAAATTGTATTTTATAATATGTACATATATTATCTATATATAAATTAAAAATGATAAAAACAAATTTCGTAATAATTTAATGCATTAAAGTAATCCAGGATTAATATGTCCTACATATTCCATACCATTAAACGTTAATGTAAATCCTTTATATACATGCAATCAAAGCTAGTGCATAATCCAAAGTGCATGGGGCAAATCTTCAAAGCATGATTATCCAACTCTTCCAACTCGCTCGTAACATTTGATCAAGATTGATCCTGAGATTTCCCGTTATTCCCCTGATAACAGCGTTCGTTTATCCGCATCACCGCGGATCCGCATTGTCCGTTAATCCTATCGTCCGCATCTTCCGTATGCGACATATGTATGCATGTGTGCGTTTGTATGTGTGCGTACTCCATACATACAATGCACATCTAGTTTCGAGTAATTTCTGCGAACTTGGGCGTTTGCTGAATTATGCGAGAATCTTTAGCCGTGCGAATAAATGATTCACCGAAAATTCATAACAGTTTTGGAGTCACCGAAAATCGTCGCAGCTGTCGAGGCACATGAATTCCCGTGGGCGCATCGATGCGCGATACAACAGCACAACGCCACTCTATTTGTATGCCTCACGCGATTGAGAATCCGGGTACTCAAAATCTCTGATCGGATTTAGGCTCAGCTGCACCGACAGTTTCGATTATCTCTGATTTAGAGATTATCTGTTAATTTAAGCAGCTGTTGTTTAAAGAGATTACAGTTCTGATAGAAACAGGAAAACAAGTATTTCTGCAGTTTACATAAGCATTTTGCAGTTAGGTTACGAAATTGTTATTATATAGTTAGAAATTATAATTGGAGTTACTTTTTTCAATAATGTAATTTAACTCTCCATCCCTTTCTTTTCATCTATAATACTTGTAACTTTATTTTTTGATAACTAATTTAATAGATAGATCGTTATATATTTAAAACTTATTTGTCAACATATGAACTCAAAATGATATATACTTAGTGAATAATCAGTGATTATATTTCTTATGACTGGAATATATCTTTATCCCTGATAATCATTGCATTATAAATCTGTGTTAAGGAGGTTGTGAGGCAAATGCAATATGTTAAGAATTACTTGAAAAAATTACAGATTATTCTAAATTGCATTTAAAAATAATAAAAAAATTAAAAACAATTGACCACTGGATCAAAAATTATTTCATATGTATTAGGTGTTGGAATTAATTCGTAGCGTTTTTTAATGAAAGAATGTTATTTATTTCACATGAGCATTAAAAAATACATTAATGAAAGTACTTCCCATCACTTGTAAAACGCTACGAATTAATTCCAACACCTAATAATATTTTTTAAATTTGTACTCTAATAGAAATATATGAAAAT